AAAAAAAAAAAAAAAAAAAAAAAAAAAAAAAATCCCAAACAGTGTTCCCTCAAATAAATAAACAGCAAAATACAGGCTTTTCAACAAATGGTGATGATAAAATGATTTTTTTTTTTTTTTTTGGTGGAACCAGGGATTGAACTCAGGCCCTTACACTTGCCAGGAAAGTGCTTATTCTACTGAGCCATCTCCCTGGCCCCCTCTTTTTTTTTCCCTTTTTTTCTTTTTTTTTTTTGCCAGCACATCAATGAAGTACTTCTAGGTACATCATTGGTGGTAGTGCATGCCCATCATCCCTGCACTCTGGGAAGATGAGGCAGTAAAATCACCAGTTCAGAGCTAGCCTGGGCAATTTAGCAAGATCATATTTCAAAACAAAACAAAAAATAAAAGGGCTAAAGATCAGTAGTAAAGTACCCTAAGTTCCATCCTTAGTATAAGAAAAAAAAATTTAAAACACAGTATATAAAAATTAGAGCCTGCTTAGGCAGAGTGCAGCAGCTGGGGTTTGATCCCTGACACGCCGTGCCGGCCCCGGCCCCACCCCGGGGCACACTGAGACAGTGATTGAATCCCTTGGGCATGGCAGTACAAGGCTGTCATCCCAGCAGTTGGGAGGCTGACAATAGGAGGATCACTACAAGTCTGATCTATGTAGTGAGACCCTGTAGACCCTGTCCTAAATACAGAAGGTAAATAATTTTTAAAAAATTAAAATTAGAATGCAATTGTTGAAATAAAATTTTAAGTTCTGAAGCCCCCCCCCCAAAAAAAAAGGTCATCATATAGACAACAGGGAAACACAATCATGGAAAAGATTGTTTTCCTTTTTTCTGAGGTAGGCAGGATCTCACTATGTATTATGCAGTACAGGCTGGCCTTGAACTCACTGAGTCCTCCTGCCTCCTCAGTGCTAGCATTACAGGTTTGTGCCACCACCCCGGCAGTAAAATGTTTATAATGTAACACAATCCTAACAGTGTAATCACAATTTTTTTTTTTTATCTTTTGCTCATTTATTTGGTACAGGGTCTCACTACACAGCTCAGACTTGTAGTGATCCTACTGCCTCAGCCTCCCTAGCACTGTGATTACAAGTGCACACCACCATGCCTGGGATTCCAGGGTATGCATTACCGGGGAATGAACTCAGGTCCTTGCACTTGCCAGACAGGTACTTGGACCACTGAGCTATCTCCCGAGCCCCTAAGCACAACAGATTTCTAACTTTATTCTGATGGCAAAGTGTTAAGTCATTATGAATCTGAGAAACTGCTCTAGAAAAGCAAATGTAACACCTCATGTCAGAAAACAGGAAATGGATGACCCTGGAGAAACTGTTAGCTACAGGGACGGATATACAGGATTAGAGCTCAGCTACGCTGGTGAGGCAGCAAAGAGCAGAATGGCAGAGGACTGCCAGCATGCCCCCGTGCCCAGAGCATCACATGGCCCACCGCAGAGCTGGCACCCAGGCCCTAGAAACGAAGCACAGAGACTTCACTGGATCTGCCTGCCCCGCTGCAGAGCTGGGGAGGCTCCAGGGCATGTTCCTTTGGAGGACTTCTTTGGTCATGGTAAACACACAGTCCAGGGAAGATGGGGTGAGTAAGGAAAGATTTCACATTTTATTTTCCCATTAATTCCCAGCGATATATTTAAATTGTGCTTCAGCACCTTGGCCAGCTCCTGGCACCCCCATCCCTCAATTGAGCAAGGGAAGGGGTCAGGCTGGGACTCAGACACACCTGAATGGCAACATGACACACAGCCTGGCACCCTGGTGATGTAGTGCTCCTGATGGACAGCCAGGGCCCTCCGCACGTGCCCACAGATCCCACGAACGGTCGGAAGGAATACATTTCCATCTTCACATCAACACAGCTTTACAGTGAAAAGGAAGCGTTCCTTCTGCGGCTTAAATCTGGTCAAGAGATGGCTTTGAATATTTTCTTCACTACATATACAATTTTTACCCCATCTTCGTGCCTCATGAGGATCGGTTTGTAATAAGACCTCGAATTCTTCTCAAAACACTGCAAAAATGTATGAACATTCACCACCACCACTGAAACCTGTAAATTATTGCAAATAGCCTCACACAGGAGCATAATTCAAGCATAAAACTTTGGGATGACATAAAATAAATACTACATTATTTCTTCATCTCCATTTAATGCTGCTAGGGTTAGATGAAAGGAAAAGTATTATAACAGAAGGGTATAACTACGGTAAGCACTGTTCTCTACACACTCATAACAACTTCCCAAAAGAGATGTGTGAGCCCATGTCGACACAGCTTTCCTGTAGTGTTCTACGACTGTGAGCATGAGGTATAGTTGGTAAGCAATTATACACTATAAATAGGCATAAGCTCCCCTAACTCAGCCTGGTGAGACACTGTCACTGAAGAAGTCTGGGGAGGGGAGGGGTAGGAGGGGGCCACAGCTTGGCAACCCACTGCTGCGAGGAGGGGCATCCTGCCAAGTGCGCAGGCCTGGAACACACTTCCCAGGACAGAGGAGGGAGACTAAGTATTACTAAAGCCTCGTCCGCATTCATATTCAGGTATACTTATGAGCATTTCAAAAGCCATCCACAGAATTTTTAAAATACCTTATCTTCTCATTCTGGAAAAGCTAACAGTTAAGATGAGCTACATACTACCGAACTTTCTAATGTATCTAAGCTTGGGGAAAACCTTATTATCACTTTAGTAAATGGCTTGTGCAAAATTTTGATTTCACTCATCTTTTTACAGATAGGTTTATTTGATGAGGATTGTGATCCAATGATTGTTTAGCAGCAATTTTACCAAACTGTAAATTCTTTTATTAACAGGCATTATAAACAGATAATACTAATCTTATTTAAAAACCATGAGTGCCACACCAGTGAATATACAGCTCATGAATAACTTAAGTACTTCCCACTAAAAGGTAACACACAGCATACAAACCCTACCCTAAACAAAGAAGCTGGACTGTGGATACATGATTGATGTGTCTAAAATGACGTATGTACAGAACATAATTAATGTGACTTCTGTGAGCAGTACAGCTCTACCACTCCCTTCATGCTTCACTCTCCCCGGAAACTGAGTTCTGAACTTCCTCTTCTAAAATTGGTACAATCAAGTTATCCTTGGACATCAAATTATATTTCATCACAAATTTAGTAAACCGATGACATAGAAATGTTTCATTCTGTAGAAAGGAAGAAAACACATTACTTTATTATCCAAAGTCACAAAAGCAGGAGTCCTAACAACATAGGTTATTGTCATTCTGACAGGAAGCATCAGGAGACTTAGTGAAACATACTTACTTCATATTCGTCAAATATCTGCCGGTGATGAAAATAAGCATGTGAAAATATTCTGTAAATCCTACGGCATACAGATCCTAGTTTTGCTACAGATGATTCTTTTATGCTAACCCTAAAAACAAAAAAGAAACCGGATTCATACAACTGGACAGAACCGTAGGAACCACACAGTCCAGCCCTCTCCGGAGAAGAGTGCAGAGGTTGCACGGAGCGAGCAGGTGCGCAGAAGGTGCCAGGACAGTGGGGCCACTCCTCGCTCCTCACGCAATCCTGCACCCCAGCCGACACCTTCTCCTCCACACAGGCTGCAAGAATTCAGTGGTGGGGCTCTAAGGCCTTGTTAAGGTTCAATGCACATAAAGCGAATCCCTGACAACTCAAGTTTATTAAAACACACATTTGGGGCTGGGGAGATGGCTCAGTAGAATAAGCGCTTCTCTGGCAAGCGCAAGGGTCTGACTTCAATCCCTGGCTCCACCAAAAACCAAAAAAATACACACACATTCTACAGCACTAATGCTTTGTGCACTAGACACAGCTATAGTTGCTAAAAGGAATTTGTATTCTAAAGAACTGGAATGAGAATAGATGCTTGCCGGGCATGAGTTCAATCCCTGGTACTGCGCAAAAAAAAAAAAAAAAAAAAAAAAGGATGAACTGGATTGGGCCGGGGAGATGGCTCAGTAGAATAAGTGCTTCCCTGGCAAGCACAAGGACCTGAGTTCAATCCCTGGTTCTAGAAAAAAAAAAAAAAAAAAAAAGACTGGATTCTATTTGTTTTGAAAAATCAAAATGCCTCCATGTTCTGATATTCTTTTCAAAAGTACATATATGTATGATATGGAGGCAAAAATTAGTACTTCAAGAAAACATTTTATATAATTTACTGGAATAATCTCATCGGGGGAAAATATCTCCAAATCCATCCTTTGGTTACAGGTATGCTAACAGGCGTGGCATGGTGGTGCACACCTATAATCCCAACACTTGGGAGACTGAGGCAGCAGGATTGCCATGAGCTTGGGTCAGCCTGGGCTACACAGTGAGATCATGTCTCAACTCCCGCCTCCTTACCAAAAAAACACACAAGTATCTCAACAGAATTAAGGATCGGTCTCAACTCTCACTAAAAGTACAATATACACAGAGCTTCTTCCTACAACTTGAAAACCTGCAGGTGAGAGCTAGGGAAATAGCTCGGCAGTCTAAGCGCCTGCGTGGCAAGTGCAAGGACCCAGGACTGATCCCCAGAACCACATACCAGGCCAGCCCCAGGACTCCAGGTGGGCTGTGTGGGCCACCGAAAGTGGGCATGGGGGCGCATGCCTGTAATCCCAGTGCTGGGGAAGCTGAGATAGGAGGATCCCTATGAGTCCGAGCTGTGTAGTGAGACCCTGTACTAAGTAAATAAATACAAGAGTTTTAAAATATATATTAAATAAAATCTGTATGTGAGAATGAGGACTCTTGTCTCCCCAAAAAAGAAATCTTGTCAGGTGTGGTGGTACACACATGTATCCCAGGGCTCAGAGGCTGAGGCAAGAGGGTCTCTGCCCCAGCCTAGGCTACTACATAGTGAATCAAAAGCCAAACTGGAGGGGCTAGGGAGATGGCTCAGTAGAATAAGCACTTGCCTGGCAAGTGCAAGGGGCTGAATTCAATCCCCATTTCTGCAAAAAGAAAAAGCCATACTGGACTTTACAGCAAAGCTCTGTGTCAAACAAACACAAAACAAAACAAAGGCGCTTGCCTGGCAAGCACACAGGCCTGAGTTCAATCCCCAGTTCCAAAAAAAAAAGGAATCCTTCAAACAATGCTCCTAGTTCCAAAAAAAAAAGGGATCCTTCAAACAATGCTCCTAGTTCCAAAAAAAAAGGGATCCTTCAAACAATGCTCCTTCCTGCAACGTAGGGGAGGGAAGCAGAAGCAGAGAAAACCAGCCGCCACAGGTGGCGGAGCAGCAAGACTGGCCCTCCACTTGGGGGCAGTGTTCTGACCCCATTCTGGTGCTCAGCCACAAACTTCTTGCAAAATCCCAGTCACTGGAACAAGCCAAATATTCCCCAGCTTCAAACACACACACACACACACACACACACACACACACACACACACACACACATATTTTAGGCTTAAGACATTAATTTTTAAATTAAACCCAGAAAGTGTACCACCATGTTGAAAAGCCGTGCTCACCTGCTGGGAAAGTATTTGTTGCTATTGAGCAGGCAGGCAGCACCGTCAAGCGTGTGTCTGGTATAGTCGATGGCAGGGCACTAGGAGAGAGGACAGCGTGTCAGCTGAGGCCGCCTCATAGAGGACACACAGTTACTATGCAGGTCCACGACCCCAGGGACCCTTGCCTGTAGAACAGCCCCACACAATGAGATGATGACAAAATACAATGCTGTCAGCAGGAAGCAGAGCTTCACTGATTTAAACCTTCTAGTACATTAACCAGCCTCTCGATTTCATTCCCATCAAGAAACCCAGAAGAAAACCTCTGGAAGAGGAAGAGCCCTCCCTATCCAGCCCAACCTGACCATGCACATGCTGCATCTGTCTATCGGCCTACCCGGCTTCCTGTCTGCGTGGGGCCCAAGAGACAGAAAGGACCTTTGTGGGCTTCTGGGTTTGTACTTTTGCAACAAACCCAGCCATAGGACAGCACGGGAGAGTGCACCGCACACTGACGCACCCTGGGAGCAGGGCCATCCTTCGGCAAGAGTAGGCTGCGCACCACATTCCCAAGTGAGAGATTCACCAGCTGCTGCAATAGGCCTTTGTGACTCAGCCTCCCGGGGCGCTTGCCATGTGCTAGACAAGTCACATGGACCACAGGGAGGCTGCTGGGTGGACCTCCCCACCACCCACACACCCACAAGTCCAGGCGTACACAGTGCAGCCCTGAAGGAAACCACTCTCCTGGTAGCACCACTGCTAGCACAGGTACTGGATACTCATTCTGGAGAGTTTATTCTTTTCATTCCCCAGCCCCTGGCCCTGCCTGGGATTTCATTCTTTTTTAGATAGAAGAATGTTGGGGCCGGGGAGATGGCTCAGAGGAATAAGCACTTCCCTGGCAAGCGCAAAGGCCTGAGTTCAATCCCTGGTTCCACCAAAAAAAAAAAAAAGAATGTCAAATGCTGATTTTGCAACTATGGTCACTTGTCTTCAAGCGTTAAAGGCCTTTCAGGATAATAATACCTATAGGTCTATGCCGAGACAGAGTTGGCCTGGCCTGATCTCCTTAATGGGTGTCAAGTAAAAATGAATTCAATGGCCTTAAAGAACGTACATCTTAGGAGATGCAGCACGCAGTTTAAACCAAGTATAAAAAGCTTTATGAGACAACTGCATACTGGGTATTACATGGCAAAATGTAACATTTTCACAAAGGATGATACACAACTGCTACTTGGGGAAACCAAGGCAGAAGGACTGAGGGTTCAAGGCCAGCCTGGGCAAGTTAGCAAAGCTATGTCTCAAAACCAAAACTAAAAACAAGGAAAAAAGAAACTTAAAAGGGCTGGGGATACAGTCCTTTAGCTGGGGAGGGCTCAGTACTCCTTGCCTGTAATCCCTAGCACTGTGAGAAGAAAAAAAAGGAAAAACAAACTAAACCACAAACTGGAGGCCGGGGAGATAGCTTAGTTGAATAAGTGCTTGCCTGGCAAGTGCAAGGGCCTGAGTTCAATCCCTGGTTCCGCAAA